TGGACCCGGGACCGATTTAATTTTTCGTTTTGAGGCCCCTAGAGGCCAAAAACACCATCCGTTCAAATTCATATATACAGGGTGATCAACTCAAGGAGGCCACCATTGGGAAATCGGAAACGGTAAGAATTAGAGACAATTTTAAATGGGGAACATTCCTTTATTTTTTGTGGCAGTTAAAAATATGATTTTAGTTTTTTTATCATGTTTTCGGATAGAATAAGCAATTTAAAAACTTTTTTAGCCTTGACATTTTTTCGATAAACCCACTCGTTTAGGAGTACCGCCTATGGAAAATGTCTTCCGGTGTACATTTAACATCATGTAGCTCCTAAACGAGTAAGTTTAGAGCAAAATTGGAAAAAGTAAATTAGTCTTAGAATTGCATCTACATTCCTTAAAGACTATAAAATAAAATGTTTTCCACTTTTCAAGTTTGCCGCCATTTTTTAAATAATATAATTCATATTTTCAATGAATTTTATGGTCTTTTTGGAATGTGGATGCAATTGTAAGACTTTTTTACTCTTCGCATTTTTGCTATAAACTTACTTGTTTAGGAGCTACATGATGTAAAATGTACACCGGAAGTCATTTTTCCATAGGCTGTAACTCCTAAACGAGTGGGTTTATCGAATAAATGTCGAGGCTAAAAAAGTTTTTAAATTGCCTATTCTATCCGAAAACATGATTATATATAGGGTGTTCTATAAGAAATTTAAAATTTGGCCGCCATTTTGGAAAATGGCGGCTGAATTTCAAAAAACTAAAATCATATTTTTAACTGCCACAAACAATAAAGGAATGTCCCCCTTTTAAGTTTTCTCTAATTCTTACCGTTTCCGATACCCCAATGGTGGCCTCCTTGAGTTGATCACCCTGTATAGCCTATATTTATTTATTTATATATTTTCCCCGGGGGGAACCCCAGGATCCCCCTCCTTTTTGGGGGATATTCCATACCCCCCCGGCCCCCGGTGACCCCCCCAACAAAATATATGTCTAGGATCGCCCTTGTCTTGGGATATAGCCTTTCTTCACTGATCACGTAATGCGTGATTTTCTATAAAGTCTTGAAAAAATAAAAGGTAAAATAGATAGAATACAGGTGTACTGTATGTGGTTTACACACAAATATTCATCAAACTGTGTGATATTTTGTTATTGCAATGAACAATTTGAGAGTATCGTATTGTTTAAGTCGATGGAACATCTCTGTTGATCCTGTTTTACAAGCAAACCAAAAAGATACAGTAGTCACCACTCTATGCGACATATTCTAACCAGAAAATTGTAATCGTATGATTCTATAAGCATTGGTAGGATTGCAAAGTACTACACAAGCATTATTTCAAGGGTAATAACAGTCACAATTTCCGATGACTTTAACAGAGTCAACTAAAATATTATACTAATGGACACACAACTAAATGGAACAACTAATGGAAATTCTCACGATGTACATTCGTTCGATATAAGCATTGAGTATACACGTCAGTACATACGTGTATACCCAATGATATAAGAAACGGTTCTTGCAATTTATTGCTTATTGTTTTTTAGAGTTGTTTTCGGACTTACTCACACTCGTATAAGGTTTTCCACGTTTGTCATTGATAATGTAGCCATGTTGCTTTGAAATGGCGACCATACAAATGTATGCATTTTAAGCCAAGTATGAATGGAGATGAGTGTGGGATGAGTGGAGCGATCTTGTTGTCCTGTTTGTGACTAAGGCCGACATAATCCTTAGACACAGCTGTTAATTAATAGTGCATACAGTCAATTAATAGCAGCAGAGGCCAAGTTTGGTATCAAATTAAAGGTTTTATTCATAAAAATACATTGCCACAAACCCAAACTCAAACGATGATGATGATAATAATGTTAATGATGTCGCTAAAACGTATCGTTTGAAATTTAACAGCTGAAAATAAGTGAAATAGAAAAGGTTTTGGTTAAATCCATCAAATTGTAATTGGACACTAGTAAATACTAGTGCACTTGTTGCTACCTCCCCCCTTCGGTTTCATGTATTCCTCTCAATCAGTTCAAACCTAGGAGGATCAAACATTAATGTTACCTAATTAATGTTAAATCCTCCTAGATTCAAACCTGAAACACCCAGATCGAAACTCGCCTATCGTTATTTTACCATCGCCTTTTTTAAATATATTTTTCAAAAAAGAAAGATTATATTGATTTACTTTGGATTTTAAAAATGTTAACGTTTTATTTTGTTAAAGATTTATGGTGATACGTAAATATTGTGGTGTAGTAAAGTATATTAAATTGTAGTTAAGTGTTAAATTTAAAATTTTAGGGTGAATCGAGATGAATCTTTTTTTATAACATGGGTCTCTCCTACCTTAACATACATACCAAGTTTCATAAACATCGGTTGGAAAAGTGCAAAGATAAATATTTGTATGTAAAAAATACGAAATGGTGGATATCTGGTTAACGAAACGATTTCGGAAAAAATGTTATCCTTGATTTTCTGTTTATTTTGACCCAAGGAATTACTAGGTAAAGTATCTCCCCGCTTATTTTTAACACCCTGTTTATGATGTATTCTTATAAGTGAAAAATGTAAGCTGGTAATACAGAAAGATGTTTTATAAATAATATGAATGTACTGGTGATCTGTATATTCATCTTTTTCTTGTTCTTAGAAGTCCACTCAGCAGTCGCATCGTACGATGTAGTTCTTTCCATGCGTTGCGAAATGCTAAATTTGCCGTCCTCTTCAACCCAAGTTATCTATTGAACCACTGATTGTAAAAAATTAAAAAAAATATTTTTTACGCATCACACTTTTGGCTACAACTTTGCCACAGACAAAACCTCTCTAACCCAAAAAAAAAAAAATCTCGCATGCTAACTTTTTCATGTTAGAAATCACGATTTAAAACTATTTCACCATACATATCAATTTTTATTAATTATATCGGTAAATAGTTTAAAGTTCCAACAAAATAGCCATCGAGAAGGACTAACCAAGAAGCTCTGTGCCAATTTTCAAATTTTTAGCACAACTTTAAGCACACCAAAACACGAAATTATTGAAGTCATGAGTCGAGAGGACTATCGTTGTTTTTAACAGATTATACTTTTGACCTTCCGGCACTGTTGACTCAGCGAAACTGAACTTAAATTTTAGCTTATTTCGTTATATTAAAACTGCTGTTGCATTAGATCAAATTCCCAATAAGTCAATTGCTTTAACATAGACCACGTTTTTAGCTCGGACTGTACTATTTGACTTACTGGGATTTTTGATCTACAGACACTGCAAACATTGTAGTTTTTGACCTAGCGGCACAGGTATAAATTATTTGACCTTCCGGGACTGTTGACTTTCTGCAACGCGTCCGTTAAATTTAAACAGCTTTCCAAGTCTGGAGACCCCCAGTAAATTTTGTAACAGTTCAAACTAGGAAAACTAAACTCTACACACCTTTTTGGCATATTAAGTACTTTTTAAGCCTAATAGCCTCTTGGTTTCCAAACCCGAAATGGGGATTTTGAGGGAAACTCAAAAATTTTAAATGATAAGCCCCATTGGGTGACCCCTCATTTTGAAGGTAAAAGAAAACTAACAACCTAAACCAGAGGTTTCTATCTCAATCCAGTAAAAAATGGAAGCTGATTGAAATCTTTAGAAATCAGAAATAACTTACAATTTTATATTCAATTGGCTTCCATATTTTACTGTGTTAAGATAGATAACTCTAGTTTGTTTTTTTTTTGTTTTCTTTTATTATGACCTTCAAAATGAGGGGTCACTCGATTGGGCTTAACATTTTAAATTTTTGAGTTTCCCCCACAATCCCCCATTTTGGGTTTGGGAATCAAGTGGCTAATAGACTTAAAAAGTACTTCATAACATGCCAAAAAGGTGTGTAGAGTTTAGTTTTCCTAGTGTGAGCCGTTACAAAATTTACAGGGGGTCTCCAGACTTGGAAAGCTGCAAGTTGAATTTAACTTCTGAGAATTTCAATTAGCTGCCATTTTTTACTGAATTGAAATAGAGACCTCTAATTTGCGTTGTTGGTTTTCTTTTACCAGGACCTTCAAAATGAGGGGTCACTCGATGGGTCTTTTCATTTGACATTTTTGAGTTTCCCTCAAAATCCCCCATTTTGGGGATGATCACCAAGTGGCGGTTATTCCCAAAAAGTACTTCATATCATGCCATAAAGGTGTGCCGAGTTAAGTTTTTCTAATATGGGCCGTTAATGTATATTTGTTTGTTTGTTCTTTATGGACTCCGAGACCGCTCAACAGATTGTAATGAAACTTTCAGGCATTATTAAGCATTATTCAAGGATAGTTTGTGTGAAGTTTGGTGCAGATCCGTCAAAAGGGCTCCGCCCCAGGAGCTCTGGAGTTTTTCATGTTAACCTTATGAGTACTCATATTTAAATGGAATTAAAGAATCTTATCAGCTGGTTCAACTAAACAATTTGATTCTGTGATGATTGGTAGCATTAAAAAGTTAATAGGTTTACCAACAGGGTGCAGCACTATTATTTTTTTAAATTTATGACAACAGCTAATTTGCAACCAAAAAAGTGAGTGAGTGTAGCGAACGAACTTCAACCAGGACGAGATATAGCAATGTGAACGAGCTCATCTTGAAAATGAACGAGCATTTGACATAAAATCACATTAGGACAGGACGATATTTGTCGGGCCAGCTAGTAAATAATAAAAAAGGTGGATATCTCACTAACAAGGTATTTTTTGGAAAAAATGTTATTCTTGATTTTCGTTTTATATTTGTTTTGACCCAATATACCTATTCCTGAATAACTGGACACCCTGGATATACATTAATCTTTTTGCAAGAAAAAAAAGATCTAATTACTGTATCAATAACGTGAATACAAATTACCTGATATGGATTGACAATATTTTGATAAATAAATACATTCATTGGATACTGTAAATAAAAAAACAAATTTTGGTTTTAACAGGTTCTACTGTGTACTTACTCTGTTTGGATTTTCCACCTGCTGTCCTCTTCTTCCTCAACTGTGTTTTATCAGTGATTAGACCCAACTCTATAAGCTTGTCAGATATTACTTTTCTACTTCTAGGCACTGACAGACGACCCAAAATGCAGTTCATTGGATCTAAGCAAAACAGAGTTAATTTATTTTATGTTCGTAACCATTATTTATTTAAATTTAATTATAACTTGTAAGATTTCACCGATTGTTTATCAGAACCTCCCACATCCAATCTTTAAATAACAGACTCCTCAGAACATGGTTTGCTTCTGACTTTTTTGTCTTTAATAATATTGTCATTCATTTATTTACATTTAGTATATAAGAAAATCTACATATAACTAGGGGTCTACAGGTCAGACTTTTTTAGTTTGGGTCGGGTTGGGTCAAAAATCATTAATTAATGTTTTTATTTTTTTAAACTTCAATCCGTGTCTGTAATAGTAATATGAAAATAAAACATGAACAAAGATAGTATTTATGTATATTATTGTATTATCATAGTTTATTTACAGCTTGGGAATTGCCTCAACTGCAAGAAAGAAGAAAATAACATTTTTTATTAAGATATTCTTTTCTACGCTCATAACTGTTGAAATAACTAAATAGCTAAATTACAACAAGTAGCCTCCTAAGTATAAAATCTCACACTTGCAATAGCATTATTAGTTACATCATCATAAATACATAACTTATCTATTATTGGCATTAGTACATTTTAACATAAGAACAATTTTTATATGACCTAAAATAGAATAGGCTAAGCAACGTGACAAACGGAGAACTCATTGAAGTTGTGTAACTGATTTACTATAAAACTCAAAAACATTAATTAACACACACATTGTTTATGGTATGATTATTTACCACTGTCAAAATTCCATACCATGTCATACAGTAGTATAGATAAACCTACTGCATGAGATAAAAATCTAAAAACAACTGATTTTGATCACTAATAAATGAAAAGAATTAAAAATCCATAAACTCAAGTCAAACAATATCACAATTAGAATTAATTACACTAAGAGGAACTGTTAACTAATATATAGAAGAAAATATTAAATCAATGAGAAAAGAAATGAAAATGAAATGCCAACATACAACATAACACAAAGACACTATACGTCTCGCCACCCTAAGTTGAGGCAGCCCAAACTGACCGGGTCATTACCGGCTGTTCCCGCACGACCCTTTATAATACGATTAGCGAAACTTCCGTGAACGCTCTAGTTCAATAATTATCATTAACAAATTTTAAATCCGATGTATAAATTTAGTCATTTATATTAAATCAGAGTTATTAATGTAAATGACAATTAAAATATTGACCACTAAATGTTCTAATTAATCTAATATTCATGTTTATGTTGGTGTCAGGAGTTTAATTTATTTAAATGTTGGTTATTTATAAAAAATATGTTGTTTTAGGTTTTAAGATTATCAGTGACATTTTTATGTAATTATCTCAGGGCCAGGAGTCGATCTCTTTCAGTTTTCATTGCAAACTGAACATTTAATTATTACCTGTATTTTTTTATAACTTTGACTTTAGTAACAAGTAAGTAAAAAAGTTTCGGGTTTAGGTTTTGAGTTTTAACATTTTTGGTTTTGACCGACAGTACTGTACAATATATCAGAAATTTCTTTATGATTTATCGGGAATGTTGCTGAAAGTCAACAGTCCCGGAAGATCAAATAATTTATACCTGTGCCGCTAGGTCAAAAACTACAATTTTTGCAGTGTCTGTAGATCAAAAATCCCAGAAAGTCAAATAGTACAGTCCGGGCTAAAAGTTTAGTCTATGTTAAAGCAATTGACTTATTGGGAATTTGACCTAATGCAACAGCAGGTTTAATATAACGAAATACGGTAAAATACAAGTTCAGTTTCGCTGAGTCAAAAGTGCCGGAAGATCAAAAGCAATAAAAGTGAACGTCGATTCAGTGTAAAGTAGACCTCCTGCAACGCTTACTACACCAACAAAACTCGCTTTTAGTTACTTCGTGTTTTGTCATAATTAGAATAGAGCTAAAATTATCATATTTGGTACATAGCTTATTTATTAATGCTTCTTGCCAACTGTTTGGTCAACACTGTAAATAGGTATAGTTTATGTAATGAAAAGCCTTTCGTCAAAATTTGTGGCATAAAATACACGCAAGGACGATCTGAACATTTCTGGTTATTATATACGTTTGTAAAAGGAGATCCGTTTAATTGTAGAACTATTTTATGAGTTATAATGTAGTCTACATATAAACTGTGTAATGTATTACGCCACGGAAGGGTTGAAACCTGTCCAAACTATCATATATATTATTATAACGTAAATGGGGGTTTTTCACGATTCTGAATCAACCAGTCGATGGATTTTCATTAGTTTTGTGTTGAAAGAAAGACAATTTTGAGAACTAGATAATTTCAAAGCCATAATTTAAAATTAATGTCCCAGTTTTTTATAAATTAAGTTTTAGTTTTTAAAAAGTCTAGCAGCCGATGCTAACCTTCTCCAATAAGTCAATGCTTCTAGCTAGCTTTTAGTACAATATAATTTGCTTAACATAACAGCTGTAACATTCAGTATTTGTGACACAAATTCAGCATTTGGAAGAAAATTCAAATACATACTTATGGTTGACTTATTTATACTATGTATGTGTAATGCTGACCATTGATACATTTAATTCTTCGGTACGAGGATGGCAGTTTAATTAAATGTGCATAGTAAAATAGGTACAGTAGTAGGATGTTCAAATTATTTTTTAAAGTATTCTTTGTAATCATCGATTTGTTTTAGTCCAATATAATTTGTTTTAACTAACAGCTGGTTGAATGTGCTATGTATACTTATAAAAGGCAAAGCCCTCACTGACACACTCACTCTCACTCACGCATCATCACTAATTCTCCCACTTCCCATTTACCTAGGAGGTTGAAATTCGATTCACCGATTCTTTGGGCATTAAATAGGAAAACTAAGTAGTTTTTATTATGATCGGGCATTCGGGCTCCGCCCCAGTGGCTCTGGAGTTTCCCATCTGAACCTTATGATTTTTCATATTTAAAAGGAATTAATGAATCATAACAGCTGTGTCAATTCAACAATTTATGACAACAGCTAATTTGCAACCAAAAGCTGAGTGAGCGTTTCGAACGAACTTCAACCTGGAGGTGAGTTAACCCCAAGGCAAGTGAGCTCAGCGAACGAGCTCCAACCTAAAGGTGAGAGAGCGTAGCGAACGAACTTCAACCAGGACTTGATTGAGCCATGCGAACGAGCTAATCTTGAAAATTAATTAGTTTAACGGGGCAAAGCCAGCGGGTACAGCTTGTTATTCTATAGAATTATTAGGTTTTTAGCGAATTTCGCATATAGGGAATAAGCTATTACCGTATAACTCATGGGAACACCTGGACCCGGGACCGATGTAATTTTTCGTTTTGAGTCCCTAGAGGCCAAAAACACCATCCGTTCAAATTCATATATATATAAGTGTATAAAACATTTTGGGGACTTGACTTTTTCGGGACTCGAGAATTTAGTACTTTTCGAGGACCTGTGCAATTTATTCCATTCCAAATGCAGCGCGTTATCGATCTTCACCCTTGTGTGGGCCTCCCATTCACTGACGGAATGTCTCGTGGCGTATGACGACCGGATATAAATAGTCACTTTAACACTCACTTATCTCGTTATTTTTTTCAGCATATTCGTTGACCCGTCTGCAGGTCTTATGTTAATGGGCTGTCAGAGCGTCTGTTGTAATAACTGGAATTCCTTATGTATGTTTGCTGCTGATTACGGTGAAGTATTGTTAGAAATTCCACCTAATCTTTTAAAGTTACCCATTAAATTCATAGAAATAATAATATTTAACTGTTTGACGAGTACCCCTATTGTATTCAAAATACTCAACGGCCCAATCCAATGTCACGTTTCGTATTTTGTATACTACCGTTAATTACTAGACTTAATTACTAGCTTCATTCCCACTGTTCTTGTGAACTTAACTCTAGATCAGACTGTTGCTTCATCCGCTTCTTCATCAGTTAATTTTTCATCTTAAAATCTAAAAAATATCTTTTTGGTACCTATGTTATCACCCACGGGATCTTTGAATAATTTTAGGCTTAACTGAATCTGAAGTATGTGTTTTGGTGGTTGATCATTGTAATGAATTATATAAGATTAACCTGCATTACACTATCGACAAATTAACTATCAAATATTTATTAAAACACTGAAGCATACTGCAAACGCTGAGTCATACTGCAGCAAAAACAGCCGTATTTAGTGAGCTTAAAGTAGGTATTTTCACTATTTTCTCCCTAGGAAGTGAAAGTCAGCTGATTTAAACTCAGTTGTGAGCTTCGATTGTATGCAATCGCATGTATCGAAAGTATGTATAATTTTTTTCACCACACTATGATGTTTTAGTTAATTTACAGTCTGTTTCAAAAGTAGAAAAATAAGCAAATACATTAACAATAATACAACGTTAAAAGTATAGTGATTTACCACTCTCAACACTAGCTAACAAAGATAATTTTGATAACACAGCCGAATCTGAATGGGAGGTTTAATGTCGTAAATGGTGTTGTGATTGTCCAATAAATTTAGTGCAAGATGAGAGCTCGCCTTGTGGTCGGAAACTTGACCAAAAGTATGTATTTTTCCAACTTATCTATATTTACCCTATGCTATAAATAAGACATGTAAATGGAATTTCTTCTATTTGGTTTTATTTTCTGTTTACATTTAGTTGTTATTTCGTTACCTACATGGCAACCCATACGGCCCAAGTTATTTTTTTAATTTTAAATTCGTTTCTTGTGTTTATTTTTGAGCCTATTTTAATTTATAAAGGGATTCATCACATCTACAGGAAAATATCTTTCATTTGGTACCAACCGCGTGTAATTCGTTCCAGTAGTATGGTCAGGCTAGCTGTCATAAGTTTTGCAAAAGTTGTTTTGTATAAGACGATTTTGAATGATTTTCCAATTTGATTATCTTTTTTCACTAGATTTTGTAATTTCTTCTTTGACTTTTCAAATTCTAAGATTATTATGAAGTGTTCTGTTAGTAACAAACCAAGGTGCGTTGACAATTTTACGT